TTTTAAAATGAGTATTATTATAACCAGCACATAAGATCACAACACAGATCTTATCGAAATTTTATTATTATGATATTAGTTGAAGTATGATCAAATAGCATAGAAAAATAGAGCATTCTTTTCTCTATCGGGCTATGCAGAAAGAAAGTTTCCTTAAGCTTATTATAAGGCATTGAAACGCTACTGCCACTACTTTTGGATTGTTCTAAGTATTATTTTTTCTTTTTGTGATATTATGAGAATTTCTTCAACCAGATCCATCTCAGACATCTAAGGTGTCCTTGGTTGTGTAATAAAATAGTTCATTTATCTTCAAATATTTGCAATACTCTTGCCTGGAGTATTCAATGAAATCTCTACGAAGAAAAATCCATTAATGTTTTCAGATTGCATGAAATTTTCAAGTTTCGTATAACATTGGTGCCTGACATTATCTGTAAGATAAGTTTTCTCAATTTCATTAAATAAAGACCACATAGACATAGAAGATAATATATTGCACAGTTTTAGTACAAAAAATTCATTGATACTAGCATTTTCTGGAAAGACGAAACTGACAGCTTGATAGTAAAATTATCAATTACATTAGATATAAATATAGTTGGTAATTTTGCTTTTAAGCTTTCGGACTCATTGGTTTTTATTAATGATATTAAAAAAATTCGTCTTACAGATCATTTTAAATTCACATGGTCTACAAAACTTGAAAGTTTTATGCAATTTGGAAACATTTTTTGGATTTTTATAGTTGATACCTCCTGAAATACTTCATCTTCAATAATATACGATGAAGGCAATTTTTATCTGGAGAAAAGAACGTTGACGGTAAAGATACAAGGTTACTCCTATTTTTGTTTTATTTCGTGCTAATCTTCGATAATGAAGTGTAAGACTTTTTTATAATTAAATTCACTCTAATTTGTCATAGTAGAAAAATGAATTGTTTTGCTGCGAAAAACAATCGAACGATGATCTACTTTCTATTGGTGGTGCTGCTCTGTACTATCGGAAATGCAACTAACCATGTTTCAACTTGTCCTAATCGACAATGGATTGAAGAGTCTCTCAAGAAAGCTTATGTTCCAGGCGCAGCAATTGTTGTAGTGAATGATACTCATATACTCTATGAACATGCCTTTGGCTATCAGTCTCTGTCACCGCAACAACCTATGGACGTTAACAAATCTATTTTTCCTCTTGCTTCGATCTCAAAAACATTCATTGCTACTGCTGTTATGCAACTTGCTGAGCAGGAACTGGTCGATCTTGATACTGACATTAACGTGTATTTATTGGAACCACAGAAACATATCTTCCATCCACAATATCCAAGGCATTCAATCACTTTACGCAAATTACTTTCACACTCGGCTTCGATTTACATTAGGGATTCAGTGGTGTATACCTATTTTCGATCGGGTGATGATGCATTTAATGAATCTTTAGCTGACATGTGCTTCAAATATGTGAATCCAGACACATCGAATTGGTTGCCAAAACCACCAGGTGCAGTGACATCATATTCTAATGAAGGCTCAACGCTGGCTGCATTAGTTGTTGAACGAGTTTCAAATATGTCTTACATAGATTATGTCAAAGAAAAAATAGTGAAACCACTGGGCATCAATATCAGCGAAGTTGGCGTACGGCTTTCTGACTTTGAAAATATCGAAAATCTTGTAAAGCATTATAGCTATGCAACCAATACGTCTTATGTCACCAACTTTAATAATCTATTTCCTCAATTGAATATTACACAAATGCAGGTAAATGCATCTGCATAATCAATAGATGTCACTTTATTTAATTTCTGTTTAGAATGACCTCCCTACTTGGCTTCACATTTCACATTTTGGTTTTAGCGCCTATCCAGCTGGTCTCTTACGAATGTCGGCTGGTACCCTATCTATATATCTACGTATGTTTCTCAGCAATGGATTTCCAGTTCTTCGTCCACAGTCGATTGCTGAAATGCGAACAGTAGTTGGCGGTGGTGTCATACCACCGTACGATCCACAATGGAGCAATAAATCTATGGAACTACCACCATCACAAGCGTTTGGCCTTAGTTGGTATTGGCAAACGATGAAAGATGGTCGTCGATACATTGGCCATAGTGGTGCACTGCCAGGCATGTCACACTTGATGCTGGTCAATGAAAAGAATACTTTGGGTGTAATTCTTCTTTCGAACATAGATGTCGGTTTACCAGGATATCCGTTACCAGACATATTTGAGGTGACAGAAAATATTCACATGTCACTTTTTCAATGTTTCGACGTCGATCTTGTTGACACGTCTGCTAGTCATACTAAAGGAGCTCATATTAGATTCTTTACTGCTCTTCTACTTCTTCATTGTCTTTTTATACGTGAATTATCTGTTTATCTATAGACTGCTCTCTTTTATAAAAACGCATCTAAACCAGCAGTCATCATTATCTAGCACTGAAAAACTTTCTTGATGTTATTTATTCATTGAGAAAATATAGTTGGCTGGTATTTTCGTACGAAATAAGATTTGAATTCGAAAATATAGGATTGATCTGTCGCCAAGGCTATGCCATTCAAAGAATTATCAGAAGAAGCAACAACATCATCACTCTACTATGAATATTTTAGTTACCAAAAAAATATTTCTGCATACAAACAATCGACGCAGTGTGACAAGTCGAAACATCAGTCATCTACAATGACTTTTTGTCGGAAATGAGGTTCAGACAGAGAAAGTTGACCTTAGATATGCATTTTCTCTTCACTCGTCTCAAAACTACCCTTTTTCTCGGAATGTAGTTCCTGAGAAAAAAACTTAGGTAAAAGCAATACTTTAGTTCAATATCAAATTTTCTAACCAACTGCCTGTACTACACAATTATTAGGGTCACTAGTTACTAGCATCTATGTAAAAGGATTTATAGAGTTAGCAAAAATCTATCTATTCGTCATCATAACCAATATTTCAATGCTTTAAAAGATTCTCGAACAGAAATAGACACACTATATCGGAGTTCATACTCGGAAAGCACATCAAATTCTGGTCTCAATTCATGCGTATTGTCCGTCTAGAATACTTTCAAATGAACAAAATCTCTTGCACCATTCGATAATTCGAATCCAATAATAATTAATAATTTTAGTGAAATGAAATGTGTAGAATGATTATTTAGCGTTAATTTGAGAGACCTGGTTGAATTCGGAAATTAAAAAAAAAGGCCATCATTGACGGATGGTGCGGGTGTGAGTATACGAGTCTTTCTTTCATCTACACTCGACATCCACACTTCGATTATGATACCCACACCCAAAGCGAGAATTTCTCGAGATCATCAAAAATTTGCTGGTTTCTACATGTTGCTAATTACTTACGACACTTTATTCATACAAAACTGTGTCTTTTAAGTATGGTTGAAAAGTTTCAACTCAATCGGTTGAGAGTTGAAATAGTTTTGGCTATATTATTTCTCCTATTTTATTAGACTCTGCCTATCCAGTTTAAATCAGTTAAAAACAAATATTGCTAACATAGTGGGCATGTTCGATAGACCTTAACCGAGCAGTAAAACTTGTTTTTCCATTATATCAGCTCAAGAGGCTCAGTATACCAGCGGAATAATTCAGAAAGCTGTGACTTGCATGACTCTGAGCTATCAAATGAATTGAAAATGTATTGAAGCTTTGCCAATCGGCAGGCTAATCTTTCAAAGATTTCCGATCATATTCCGTAAAGACGAATTTACTGGGCTCATTTTGGGCTCTTGAATGCAGAAAAAAAACTTTGCACTGTTCCTTTTTTTTTCTAAATTGATCATTATTTTGTCGACAAATTCTCGTTTATTTTCATTGAATTCTTCAAATATTCTTTCGATTCCAGTAACGTTGTTTATTATTCATATTGAAATCAGTGAATTGAACTGTATAATATATTGTGCTACATGTCATTAAATTATTTGAAATAAATAATATTTATTGACAATCGACTGAGTTGAACCTAAACTGAGTTATTACAGATTCTTTTAATTTCGAGATTTTCAATCAGCTCAAAGTTGAAAAGTCGAAAACATATTATTTTCTTAAGGTAGAAATTCAAAAACCGAAAAGAATCTAAGTCTAACAGAAATCAAAAATAAAAATAAGAATCAACTGTAAAAAGAACGTCGTACAAGTTAAAAATAAATAAGCTGGATCCAAAATATTGTGGCTGAAAAAGTTTTCAAAACAGAAAAAATAAATCAATGAACGTTTCGAGTCTCTCACTCTTGGACATTAGCATACATTTTTCTTTTATAAGTCTCGAAAATTTTCCATTTCATATTCTATTCGATGAGCCATTCTGATTTCGATATCGGCTAGTTGATTTTTTCCTACAGTCGTATGTGCTTCTGCTTTTTGTTGACATTTTTGCACTATGAGTTCAACAAGTTTGCCAACGAGATAGTCGATATTACTATAACGTGTTTTTTCATCGACTAGACTATGTTCATCTTCAATTGTATAGATTGACAGATTGATTGAACCTAAACGTTCTATTAATGGTTGAAGTGATGAACTATTTCTTGTAAATAAACATATCG